CACATATTGTAACTTTCTATGAATATTTTATGGTAATTTTTCAGATGACGTCTTTGCACTGGTACTAAGACTGTATCAATTTTAGCGCAATACTAGTTTGGCAAGACAGTCTCAACATTTTACAACTGAATTGGCTACATGTAACCATAAGTCTTATGTTAACAGGTTTTTTCCTCTCACTTATCGCTTGTGGAGCTCTCTTCCTGTTCCATGCTTTCCATTCAAGTTTTATCGTCAAAAATTTAAATGCAATGTCAATTGTTATCTATTGTCTTCATGATTAATGTTCATATGTTCTCGGTGCATAATGTTTCTTTTTCTCTAATTTTTGACGACCAGTAATTCCTTGCGTCTTAGTTTGGGGTAAATTTGATTACAAAAATGTATTTTTTTATTCATATAAATTCATAGCTTTATTATTTACTAAAAAAATATATTGCCTCAGGTGCGACTGTTACATTTCAATTAATTTTTTTCATTCCATCATATTTATTTGAATGAAAGATTTTCGTTTTGATTTGTCCCAATATTGTATTCATATAATTGGGAGCCCAATACGTTTTGATCTTATTCAAATTCCCTCATATTTAAATAATTTCTCTTGTATAGGGGTTACAAAATCGAATATATATAAATATATATATATATATATATATATAATTTATACGAAAATTATAACATAAACATGCTATAAAATGACAAAAAAAATGACCATTTTGTTTTTAACACTTCCGTTGCCTTATCAAGTTGTACATTCAACACCATCACTTGATACGACACCGGAAGTGTTGAAATAAAATGGCTATTTTTGTAGTGATTTCATAACATTTTTATATGATAATGTTCGAATAAAATATATTTGCTCAATTTTTGGTGATTGGAATTCCGTATACAACAATCCTATACTTGTCCATATATATATATATATATATATATATATATATATATATATATATATATATATATATATATATATATATATATATATGTGTGTGTGTGTGTGTGTGTGTGTGTGTGTGTGTATGTATGTATGTATATATATATATATATATTTAAAAAAAAAACAGACCAATTTAAGGTATAATAATTTATTTCACCTGAGCCCTTTCAAAAGGACGCCGGATCATCAGATAGCACTTCAAAATGAAATGAAACGAAAAAAAAATTCATTTTCATTTTGGGAAGCATATCTGATGATACAACGTCTTTTTAAAAGTGATCTGGTGAAATAAATTATCATAATGGTACCTTAAATTGGTCTGTTTTATTTAAAGTTTAACACTTCTTTTACATTGAGCTCTCAGGATTTTATCCTCCTTGGGATTACCCATACGGATTACCAAGTTCTTCATAACTTAACTATATATATATATATATATATATATATATATATATATATATATATATGCCAAATAACAAAAAGCACATTATTGAGGTCTTTGCAAAGCAGCAAAATCTAATGGTTGCACATATAATTAGTAGATAACATAATTGTATAATCGACTCTGACATTCTACATTATCATAAGGCAAGGAAGCAAGCCGCCATTAATACATGAAAGCGAACAAACATGTAGGTACTGGAGGTGTGAAACATATCTTTCTGAAAATTAAATAGAAAGACATTATAAATTTCAAGCCACAGAAACAATGGTTTTTCGGTCAATAAAAATTGCATATTTTCTTATAAAGAAACGGCTAATATTACCATTAACATTTCCGTTTTAAAACAATGATTTCGCTTCTGATTTAATGAATATTTATTAAAATTCTACAAGCCTGGTCAGACTCCAAACGGTGTACTGTTATCATATCTGTGCAAGAGGTTCACAGATCTTATTTTCTAGCCTCAATAGTGTATCTGACTCCTTGTGGATGACGAATTAATCCCACCCTTCAACATCTCTCTCACAGGCGGGATGTGACAAGCAGCTCTATTGCTACTTCCACAGAAAGTGCTAGGACGAAATACATTCCTTGTTTCCGCTAGGCCTAATCTCCAACACAAGGACACACCATTCGACTTACATTGTAGCAAACTAAATTCCCTCCGTATTCCATCTGTGAGAAGTTATTTTCAATCGAACATCTTTACGCGAACCGCTGCTCTGTGGAACGACTCCCAAGAGGATGTTTCCCCGATCACTTCAATCTTAGCCTGGTAACATCTAGGGTTAACCGTTGTCTTCCTCATTTTCTGCACAAACTGCCTCAAATAGGAAAAAATTTAGCCCGCATCGATGTTGCCCCTTACTGTAAAAACTGAAAAAATTCAACTTCCGCGTCCTGGGTAAGACGATGAACTACGTCCAAAAGTAAGGCCTCTGATCAGGAGGTTTTGAGAAGCGTGGAAACACCTCTTAATTCCTGGTATTCCCAGGACCACCCTGACACGGGATGGTAGCATCTATTAGGATCCCAGCTATGGGCAAATAGTTAACCCCCAAACTGGGGCGAAAACACTATGAAAGCATAAAAAAATAGGTTTTAATACCAGAAAC